TAAGATATTATATTGCAACACACCCCCTAGTTAAGCAGAGGTGTAGATGCTTAGCTAAAGAAGCGCAATCTTTGTTGTGGTTGTTGTTAAGTAGTATTGTGGCGTTAATCTAGGAGATGTAACAAGGCTAGGCTAAAAATAGCTAGCGCTTACTAGATGCCTAGGCTAGACTTAAACAAGGTTTATAGGTTAGCACTAGGGTCTAGCACTATTATCTATTAAGATATATATATTATACTATACAAGGATTACTTAGCTTAAGTATTCTTATGCGTACCTTTTAGACTATAGCTGAATTAGTACAGATAGGGGAGATAACGTAGTATTTATTTTATAGGCAGGGCGCCTACCTTGTTATAGGAGAAATGTTAACCCTGTTAAGTAGTATAGCTAGGCGCCTCTAGAGGCTTACTAATTAGGACCTCTTAAATTATAGTATTCTAACACCGCAATTTAAACCCACGTCCTCTATAATTTTTAACCACGCTCTACTAATACGTATTAAAATATAGTGATAATACCACTACGCTAACTAGGCTTATAACTGTTGCAAACTAAGAATAGGGCAAAAGTAAACACTATTACCCTACCCTAATAAGTTAATATATATAGTAGGATATTAATAAGATATTGTATTGCAATAGTTTTTATATCTAGCCTGTTAGATTATTTTAGCTATAGGCTTGCGTGCTATCTATAATTAGGTATTTAGGGATAGCGCTAGCTAACTATTGCAAGTTATTAGCGTTATACTCTTCTAATAGTATAGGTAGTTTAAAACTTACTTTTACCCTATTCTTGCCCTAGTTTAACTTTAAAGTAGTCTCCCTCTTAGTAGCTATTATAGAAGTTATTAACTATAGACTTAAACTTATAAGCATTTAATACTAGTTCTCCTATATAGTGTATAAAGATCTAGTTATTATATATACTAGTAAGATCTATAGTAACGTGCGTAAATAATATCTAGTCTAGATATTACAAGGTTATAAGCTTATTACGTAGTTACTATATTATAGGTTAGTATACATAGCGTATAGTATAACATCCTGCTTTATTTCTATTAGGTTTAACAAATCTAATATTAGTAGTGCGTAGATAGGGAATTGTTAGGACATAGGGCTCTGCTAACCCTGCTAACCTAAGTTTACGCTAGAGTGGCCTAAGCAAGATAGATTATATAATTATAGGCAGTATAAATACTAATATAAATTAATATATATAGTATTAATTTGTTTAATATTAAATTATTTCCTTTTATCCTAATCTACTACTAAACCTCTATCCCTTACTATAAATTCTTATATTTAAATAAATCTACCTAATCTAATAGAATATTTACTAGCTAAGTAGTATATTATATCCT